ACAGAAGATGCAGGCATATGAGCGGCTATTGACCTTACCCACGCACAGGTTGACTCCTTGAGAAGACTTTGCTCTGACAGCAGGAGAAGCAGTCCTGCAGATACGTGGCTCTGAAGCCATGAAGGCTGTTTGTTCCACAACTTTATGTATCTGCTGCACAGTATTATGCATCTGTGAATCAGGTTTTAAAATCCATATCTTTGGGCTTCTTAGCTGTTTTGACCTTGTTGTTGAGATTGTATAAATTGTTGAGACTGCTCATGTTTGCTTGTTTGGTTTTCTAGTCAAAACGGAAAAACTCCAACACAGTTTTCAAGGTGCTTGAGGTAACCTATGTATCTCAATAAAACGGACCTGAATGCACTAGGCTGGGCATGAATTATTGCTGTGAGTATAATTGCTGCTGCATTCGCCTACACAGCCAGTGCCCAACTACTAAGTAATTACTGTAAAGTGCTATGGGGTACATGAAGTATGAAAGGGACCATTTTGTTCCAAGTATTGGCTTCTTGCAAGCCTGCACAGGACTGCAGCAAAATCAAGCGAGCAGATGGGGTAGAAAAGAGTCATCGTCTACCTAGATGGTCATGCTTCTGATACAGAATGGCTTTCTTTCCAGAAGCACAGCAGGTGGATTAGGCCTTCCATAACAATTAGGGGCTGATTTGATTTTGATTAATTAGCCATTCCTGTAGCACCTGTTGAAAATTATGTATAATTAAATTGTTATAGATGATTACAGAGTTGTTTTCCCAAACAGAAGTTTAATGTCACTTTGGGGAGTCTGATTGAGGAGTAACATTAAGGCCAGAATCATTCAGATTGCCTAATGAGTTTCTATGTTTGCCTTTAGTGGTCCTTGAAATCCTCTGGGACCTCTTCTTCAAAAGTGGTGAGAATCAACCAGTCTATTGAACTCAAGGGGCTGCTGGTTCTCCTGAAAATAATCATCCAGGTTGAGCTAGAGTAGTGGTTAAAAGACTGAAGATAATCTGGAAGTCCCTGGTTCAAACCTCTTGTCTGGTGTAAGCTCACTAGGTGGCTTTCAGCATGTTATTTGCAGGCTTAGTCCTCTAGCTGCAGCAGGGGGATAATAGACTGATCTGTCTTACCAGGGCGCTTGTAAAGATTTGAAGACTTTGAAAGGCTTTATAAATGTTTAGTTACATTATTTAGTTATATCAAAATATGGGGATGGGAGCTCAGTGATAGAGCATTTGTTTTGTATGCAATTTGAACCCCTGGTATCTTCAACTAAAGGGATCAGGTACTAAGTGATGCAAAAGACCTTTCTGCCTAAGAGCCTGGAGAGTGTCTGCCTGTTACATTACACAGTATTGACCTTGACAGACCAATGATCTGACTCAGTATGCGGCAGTTTCATGGATGTTTGTGTATTGTACCAAGTCCTCTGTGTCATTTTTAACCTGGTTGAAATTGAAAATATTTGATCAGAGATAGAAACTGAAGTATGGCTCAGCTTTTGTACTGCCATAGTTATTTAGCACATGTGGGAACAGCTTATGAGCCCCTTAGTAGCCTTGTTCATTTTCCTGATTCTCCAATTACCACATTTTGGAGGCTTCAGGAATTGACATTTTTCTGGTACTTATCTTTTAGATTCGAAGCCCTCTGGGCACTGGTGCATCACATCTGTGTTACGTACAGTATGTAGCACACCATTAAATATTAAGGAACAGTAATATTTACAGTTTCGATTAGTGGAAGCCGAAAGCAGGTTGAATGTGCAGGCTACCTGGGAAGGCCAGGTTACCTACTTTGATATGCAGCCTCCCAGCCTCAACCTTGGTTCCTGCTGCCGCTCAATATGGTGACTGGGGGGGGGGCAGGGAAAACAGAAGGGAAACTCTTGCAGTATTTGCAAGTTCACTCTCTGATGTCATGAAAGAGTTAACCTGCTTGTTTATGGTAGTTGTTAGTTAGGTTAGAACCCATTAGATGTGGAGTAGAAGCCTGGTCATTAATCAATTTGTAGTTGTGTGGTGTTACCTAATATTCTGCATGTAGACATTTTATTATTTATTTATTTATTTATTTCGACTTTCTATACCGCCCTGACCCCAAGGGGTCTCTGGGCGGTTTACATAGGGGGTTCTAAGAACGCTTTCTTCCCTAACTAGGGCCACATGGTGTAGGGGCGGGGCTGCCTACCGGCACCCAGGTGGTGGGCCTGTTGTTTCCTCCAGCTCGGCTCCATTTTCCCCCGGCGGTCATCGGTCGGGGCGTTTGTCCTGCCGTTCAGGGATGAGAATTTTGAGATTTCTTCTTCCTCCCTTTGTTTAGAGATTAGTGTGTGAGGCTCCATCTTGGATCAAACAACAGCTAGGAAAAGGTACCTTAGTTAGCTGGACCCTTCCTAGTCTCATTAGTAAACTTTTCTTTTAGCTAATTTACACATGTGCACTGTGTGGTTCTTGTGCGATTCCCTTTTACTTTGCTAAAATATCCAACATAAACAGTGTGCAGCAATGCTGCAACATCATTTCCAGCTGCATAACCCTAATTTTTACCATAGAACTTCAGCAGAATCTTAGAATGTCCTGTGAAGTGCCTCTGTCACTCCTGGTTATGCAGCCAGAAGTGGCGCCGCAGGACACCATTTGGGTGATTTTTCACCACTATAGTCTCCCAGGCTGCCAGTTGAGAAAATCAGGATTTATTTATTTATTTGAAACATTTCTAAGCTGCCTTTCTACCCAATTCAGGTTCCCCAAGGCAATGAACATTAAAATACTAAAATGTTTCAAACACTAAAACATTTCAAACATATAAAATATTTAAACAATTAAATAAGACACGAACACATTAAAACACACAAACAGAGAGGAAGGCTAATTAGGCTTAGTGAGGTAATGCCAATCATTTAAAAAGTTGTCATATGCTCATGGAAGACAATGTGAGAGAGAGAGAGAGAGAGAGAGAGAGAGAGAGAGAGAGAGAGAGAGAGAGAGAGAGAGAGAGAGAAATTTCCCTGGGGAAGGAGTTCCAGAGTTTTTGGTGCCATGACTAAGAAGGCCTTCAGGTGCCTGAGACCTAAGCCTCAAATAGGAGAAATGCAGCAACGAATGGGACTGCTTGAAAACTTGCTGTGGCTGAGCTTGGAGGATGAGAAAACAAAGGCCAGTCGTTCACAGGTGGTTCTGTTGACCATCAACAGCCTGGTGAGTGGCTAGGAGAGGACTTGATGGTGCTGTTTTTGGAATGAGCTGGTTGAGGTAACATAAGCAGCTTCAAATAGGGAGCATTGAACTGCATATTTGATGGCAGAAAGCAGGGAACGTGGTCTTGAGAGAGAGCATATGCCTGTGTTATGTCTTAAGCCAATAAAGCATTGATTAGCTTAAGCAAAGTTCCTTGAAAAACATAGCAGTACCTGGATCGACAAATGGGCCAATCAGAGAAGCCTTGACTTCGGCGGGAACCACTCTCATTGGTTCCCAGCTCCGTATTCCCATTGGTTGTTATCTGTTTATTGGGTGTGGTTTCGCCCGTTCAAATCGTATACAAGTCAGCCTTGTTCTATGCATCTTTGTCTAGTGTTGTTATGAGCTGAATAAAATGAAATCACTTGTTTTGGAAAAGCTGCCTCGATCTCAGTTCATAATAGCCTGCCATATAGAAGGTCTGGCTGTAAATTGGATTGCAGAAATTAAGGGTCATCAGATACGATACTGACATTTATTCTTGGTGAACACTAATTTAATTTGTGTTCTGTGTGCTCTATGAATCACTAATACTGGCAAGGTACACATACTGAATGTTGATGAAATATTACTACAGCGCTTGGACAGTTGTTTACTGCTAATTAACACTTTTGATTTAAGCAAATAATTTTTAAAAAATTATTTTTAAAATGCTGCTAAGTTATTATGGGAAGGGGTAGATTTGTGATGACACCAGCAATAGCCAACCAGCTCCGTGTACAATGGGCCTGTACTGAGAAAAAACTGACCCAATCTTCCTTGACCTGTCTGCATAACATATGCCTCAGTACATACAAATAGACACACTGTAGAACAAAGAGGCATATTTGCAATTGTTTCCTGTCATTTTCTTAAATAAATGTTTAGAATGCAAGTAGGGAAAAGTAGCATTAAAACTAACCCTAAATCTAGCTGTAAAAGGCCAGTGATGGTCGCACAGATCCAACTTACCTGTGATTGATTTCCATTGTGATTACAGCTGAATGACTTGGCTAGAAGCTTTGGGCCTATGTTTACAGCACCTGTAGATCATTTATTTTCAGCTTACACACACTGAATTTTAAACTCCTGCCAAGAAGCAAAGGGACTTTAGAAAAAATGAGAAGATACGCATGTGCCAGAAACTTTAAAGCTTTCCTTTTGGGATCTCCTGTTCTCTGCAGGGAATGGCTGTCGCTCACAAATCATTTATCTGCTTTTACACTGCAGGAACAACTGCTTGTTCATTTGGCACCCCTTGCTCTGTACAAGATGGCTGTTACTAAGGGTGTGTCAGCACCAGCTGTTTGTCACAAAATATATCCTGTAACATAACTCAAACATCCGCAACATTCTGCACCTTATCCAGCAAGATACCCCAGGGATATCAGAACCTCATAACAATACTTAGCCTTAAGGTAGCATTTTTAATGTGTTTCATATACTATATCAACCCTGTCAAGGTAGGTTACTATTGATATCTCCATATTGCTGGGGCAGGATACTAAGGCAGAGGGCATTGTGGCTTTTTCTAAGATCTCCCCCCCCCCGCCCAATCATTCCATGTGTGAACTGCAAACTGACATTTACTAGGGTAAGTGTGAACTCAGCTTTAATAAGACATGGCCCTAGACCTCATAACAGTGGAGTAGATCAGGCTGGATTTTGATAAGGTTAGTCTGGTATGTAGCGATCTGCTTGGAATCCTTGTTGGATTAGCATTGCTAGCAGGTTCTATTTTATTTCGAATGAAAGTCAAAATATGTTGTTGCTGGGGTTTTTTTTTTGTTTTTTTAGTGTTCTGAATCGCACCCCTGCCAACCTGATTCAGGAAATAATTTTAGTAGATGACTTCAGCTCTGATCGTAAGTATTTCTTTTCCTTGTTTCCTCCTTAATTATATTCTATACTTTTTGTGCACCATTTTAAACATTATTTTCCTCCTTCACACAAGATGTTTCCTTCCTTTGCTTTTTATCTGAGAATAATGAGACAACAGGGGAAGGAGCAAACATTTTGCTATGTTTTGTTTAATTTCTAGCCAACAAAAAGAAACCAGTCCATTTATTTTCCTGGAGTCTTTCTTTTCATTCTCTGTTGCCTTTCCACCTGACAGTCCTGACCAGGAGGCCAGAATGCTCACTTTGGCTTCATTAACCACCATTTTGTCTGCCATTATCAAAAGCATGGCAAGTGGTATGCTCAGCTAGGCACTCCAATTATACATGTTCATGCAGAAGGAGATAATGCATGCAACAGCACACTGCTGTGTCCTTGGCAGATTAGGGTTGCTATCCACAGGTTCTTTCTGGGGTTTTCACAGAATAGAACCATCCCTGGGCAGTAAGTGGCTGGAATCATACTAAAGGAGGACCTATCTTTCCCTCAGGATCCTGGCACAAAAAATGTTGTTTACTTCATTTTTCCAGTTGGACTTTTCAACAGAGCTATAAAAAGGGGCTCAAATGTTTAGGTTCTTCAAAGAATAATAAGGTATGGTTTCTAAAGGAGGCATAATGGCAAGGGCGGAATGCCCACATTCATACCATCTGCAAAGCATGACCTAGTTTGACCACCTTTGCTGTAGCCTGATAAGTTCAGGGTGCTTGCATCATCAGCAAGGATCAAGAGAAGAGGACCTGGGGAGACAAAAGAGTGAGGAAGTCTCACATTTAAGGCTCCAGCAGTAAAGCTACTCCCTCTTCAGGGGAGATTTGAGGATGGGGGAGCACTGTGATTCTTACATCAGGTTCATTTCCTTTATAAAGTGGTGCGAAAGGAGGCAGTTTAGAATGCTTAGCCCAGGAATCCGGCTGTTACAGGAGATACAGCATAACCCTCTCTCTCTCTTGCACAAACCTTTATTGGCATAACACAGCAACAAGGAGAACAATGAAACTAATAAAAATAGAACGAAATTACACCAAGCTGCACCAACAAGGGATCGTTTTTAAACTTCTCGGAAAGAATAAACTCAGTTGAGAATATAACAATTCTAAAAAATACAGGGGGGTTAAGACTTGTATACCCTTACCCTAAGCCTCCAGACATAGGCTAAGAATGCAGCAACAGACAAAGTAGTTGCCAAGAACTTATCAGACAATAAAATTTTAAGGTCGTTGTCAGTCGGATTCCTTGTGGTAGGTAAGTGGGGACTAATCAAATAGCTACGCATAGTAGAATTATGAGGACAACGTAGAAGGATATGAGCAACTGAATCAGGTTCACTATAGAGGCAATTGCAAGTTCTGTCCCTATATCAACAGCAGAGCCTTACCCTGTCCCTACCCCTATATCAACAGCAGAGCCATAAATCCGGCAGCACTACGGATTTCTGAGAATTGCACATCCCTTCTTCACTCCCAAGTAAGAGGTCAGGGCAGCTGGTTCAGGTATACTCACACCTTTCCCCCCCATTCTGTTGTCCACAGCTTATTCAGTAACCACTTTGGCCTCTTAGGTAAATGAGGGAGCAAAGTGTAATGTTTCCCAGCTGAGCCAAATAAATCTTTCCCCCTCTTTTCCTTCAGTGTCAGGGCATGGATCACCACCCTCATGCGCCAGAGTTCAATATCTCCCTTTGGCCTCAGATGTCTTCCCTTGGCCATCCTGTTCCACCTTCTCCCCCTGGCTCTACTCCCTCCTGGTTTGGGAGCCAGAGCTGATGCAGCCTCCTCCTTCAGGGTTTGTAGAGGCCTTAGCCCAGCCTGGAGCATGTTTAGAGACACTCTCTGCCCGGAAGCCTCACACCCATGGCGAACCAATGGCAGCCTTGAAGGAATCTCTCCCCTACTTCTTCCCTTTCCCAAAGAGCTGCTTGTCAGACAGCTGGCTGTCAAAGGGCCGGCTGTCACTGTACAGCTGGCTGGTGTGTGGCTCTTTCAAGAGTGTGGCTGGGGCCCCACTGGTGGACACTGGGCATGGCATCATGAGGCGCCAAGGAGAAAGGGAGCTGGGCATCATCACCCCCTGCTCCTCAACACTCAGTACATCAGAATAAGTCCCATCACACCCTGAACCTTAAATTTAACAGTTGCATTTTGGTCCACATTTTCATAGTCTTGTGCCAAGTCTCATAATTCTCAAGTATCGTTTTCACTCCCAGATCCCACCCCTTGGGGACGCTGCCTTCCAGCATTGTGAACGCCATGGCTGGGACACTCCACAGGCCTCAGAATGGGAGGGGAGGGGCTTCAAGTCACCCTTGGCCGCCTCCTCCTCCTGACTGTGAACCTTCTCTCATTCTGCGCTCACAGTTTCAGTCCACTGCTCCCTGACCTGTTTCAAAGAGCCTCCATTTATCCTTCTTGCCACCCTAATCAGCCTCCCTCCTTCCTCGTCTCATGGGGCCAAAACCAGCCTGTTAGAAGCAGGCCTTGGTTATTGGCTCCCTGCTTCCTGGTCTCTGGTTGGGACCCCACCTCCCTGCCTCTCCCTGGGTGTGGTTTGGGCCGCCCCCTTGGATGCCGCTTTGCTGCTGGGCCCGGGGGAAGCTGTCACACCAATTCAGCTGCTGGGGCAAGTCCAGCTTCCCGTGGCCCTCCAGGAAGTGGAGTATAGCCACCTCTCCCATTGCACTTGCTTGGCATTCCCTGTCATTGCCAGCCTCCTTCACCATTCCTGGGCTTCCCCGGCTGCTGTTCTGGGTCATGCCTCCATAGTGGACCTGCCTGCTGTTGCTGCGGCAGCCCCACCAAGCTCCAAGCATGCCTCTCTGCTGGTGCCTGGAAGACACCATGTGGCTGGCAGCTGTAGTAGGTCCTTTGGCCTGGGTTTGTTCCGGAAGGCTTTGCAGCCTTCAGAGATTCCAGGGGCAGCCGTGGAGTGGTGTAGCAGTGCCGGCCCCAGATAATAGTTGTCAGGTAGTGAGTACTTCATGTATGGCACCCTGAGGTCCTTGGAAGAACAACGGAATAAAAAGGCTTCTATTTGGATAGAAATTAAGCTTTGTTTATTAACAGTTTTTCTGAATTGCCATCAGACTGCTGCCATAGCAGGACTGGGATTTTGCCATGTTCTTGAAGTGTGAATAGCCTAAAAAGGTTTGTGGGTTCATTTTAGGACACTGGTTTCCTTGCCTAGCAGATGGCCAGCAATATCTCAGTAGCCTTTAATCAATGATACCTGTCACTGTTTCTCAATGATACAGCCCTTGACAGACTGCCCACAATATTTCAGGCAGTGGGGTGCCTGTGAAAATGGAAGAGCTCCAAGGTAGTGTGGTGCCAAGAAAAGTACTTTGGCTGGTGGCCTTCCTGATTCTCACCAGGATGCCAAAGCTGTGCAGCGATGATAAGTGGATGGGCTTTGCGAGACATGGAAAAGAGTACAAGAAACTGCTGCTGCCATTGTTGCAGTGAAAAAGAAAAGCAAAGTGATGAACGGAGGGGAAAGAAATTTGGGCTGATATCTGTACTCAAGGTTCATTTAGCATAGAGTAGCAAACGCTTTCTTTGCAGCCAACCGTGGTCCAAAGAGTGTATCTCATCTCATCTATATACAGTGTCATGCTGTACTCCATAATAAGGTGAATGGAAAGGGGGCAAGTGGGCAGCTGATGTGAGCAGTCTCTACAGTATGCTTAATTTTTTTGTGGGACAATGACCATCATGTCTTGCCTCTGTGTTATACATGTAAGGCTCAGCTGCATGTTGTTTTTCAAGAGAGTTTAAAAAAAATAAATGCAACCCTGGAGGCTGCAATCTGAAATAAAAGATCTGCCCGGGGAAGGAAGGGAGAGGTTCTTAGCCCTTTCCCGTCCAGTGTTTTTTCTGTTGAAAATCCCTCCTCCTCCCCGAAGCTGTTTTTCCCATTGCAAAACAAAATTTCTTGAGCAGATATTTCATATGAAATAATATGACGCAAAATCTGAAATGCAACCTTAGCTTTGTTTTAAAAATGTTTGTTTCCCCCCCCCCATTAGTAAATAGCTCATTATAAAAATAAAGCTTGGGGTTGATGAACATTGAGCATGTTTGTGCAAAATAAGGGGGGGGGGAACCTATTTATTTATTTGATTTCTTTAGAAAAAGGCATCCTGCATTTCTGCTAAAAGGGACTTAAAGCAGCAATATCACGTTGACCTGCGTTAATTATTCAAAGCCTAGAATTCAGGCTTCCTTGAGATGGATGAGTTGGCACACCAGCAAAAACCTTTGTTTTATATTTAATTACTTTTTTTTTGTCAAATGCTAGCACTGCAACCCTAAGCATACTTACTAAGAAATAACCCCTGTTGAATAGGAGTAAATATAGTTAGGCTCAGACTATGATTATGTAACTTTAGGGCCCACAAATTTTTAGTCTGGGTATAAGCTTCTGTGTGCACGCACGCTTCTTAAGATATATTGAAACAGAAGTCACCAACCAATTACATATAGATAGCAGGTGAGGAAGATGTTTCCAGGAAGGGCCAATTAGAGTCAAGATGCATAAGTGACGGAGCAATGAATATAGCTAAGACTGGATGAAGGCAGTTGGTAAGACCAGGTGCCACTGGACTCTTCGTTCTGCTGCTTCAGACCAACACAGCTATCCACCTGAATCTATGATAATGCAAGGCACCCTGGTTATTTGTTTATTTATAACCTGCCTTTGTTGCTGAGACTCAAGCTGCATATCTCCACAACAACACTGTTTTTCATAGTGTTTTTTTCATAGATGAGGAATTAAGTGTGAAAACTTTCCCCAAGACATTTGGCTACAACTGAGCTGAGATCTGAGAATTAGCCTCCAAGAGTCAAGCTTAACTTTCTGACCACTAGACTTCTCTGGACCTTCAGGATAGATAATGGTGCAGAAAACAAATTGATACATGTGTGTATCCTCGGAGATGGATGGGTTCATAGAACCATAGAGTTGGAATGGGCGATACAGTCCATCAAGTCCAACTCCCTACTCAATACAGGATCAACCTAAAGCATCCCTGACAAGTGTTTGTCCAGCCACTGCTCAAAGACTGCCAGTGAGGGGGAGTTTAGTGAGGGGGCTGTTACTAACTAGCAACAGCAAGAAATCTCTTGATGCCTACAGTTCACCACATTCATTCCCTCTCTCCCTCTGTGTTTCCAGACTGTACACATGGGACATACTTTGCTTTTTAAAAATATCACAAGGCAGAAGTGTACATTGCAGGGCAAATAGGGTGCCCCTTTACTCAAGTTTGCCTCATAATGCAAAAGCTGGCATTTGCAGGATAACATCAACTGGTTGGAGGGAGGTACTTGAATTCCCCTTCACTAGAATTCCTCCCTGCCTTATTTCCCCTCACTTCTAGTGCTGAAACTGGAAATGGAGAAAAGACCAGGTAGAAGGGTTCTGGAGAAGGATGCAGGAGTGATTAGCAACTCCATCTGTCCTCCAGTTCTCCCATGGAAATCCACACCCACCTTACATTCCTATTAACAAGAAAATAGGGGTTTGTGAAACTTTAATTTTCTGGTAGAGTGTGTTGTTACATCCTAAACTGTCTGTAGTATTAGTCTTTCATGGTTCAGAGTGCAGCCACAGGTTACAACGACCTCATGGCCTCTTTTCCCTTGCAAACCATCCTCAGGAGGGGGTGATTTGCCCTGGAGAAGTTATGTGAGGGAAGCAACTCTCCAGGCTTTGCCTTACTATTATATATGGGCACAAACCAAACTACGAAACAAAATTTGTCACAAATTTTGCCCTGTTCATGCTTCAGAAAGAGACAGGCCCACCATCATGAACTTTCACAAACTTTTGAAGCAGTTTGTGGGGGTTCATGGATGGAGCAGAAAGAAGGGGTTTCAAGGGATTCTGAGTACCCTTTAAACCCCTGCTTTCTGTTCCCAACCAATGCTGCAAAAAGTGGCGGGGAGATGTTCCCCGCTGCTCAACTGTTTCAACCTGTCTTGTGCAGTCCCTTTAAAGGGACTGCAGAAGACATCCCGAAAAACAGTTGACCTGGCGGGTAGCAGTCTCCCTACTGGCTCAGCTGTTTTGAGCTCCGTTGTGCAATCCATTTAGTTGGGCATGTTTAAAGGGGCTGCACAAGGGAGCCCAGTAGAGCTGAGCCCATGGAGAGAAGTCTCCCTGCTGCCCCAGCTTCAGGCTCTCCTATGCAGCCCCATCTCCCCATAGGCTCTGCTCCATTGGGCTCCCTTGTGCACGCTGGTTTAAAGGCGCTACATAAGAGGGCCCGAAACCAGGCTGGCAGGGAGCCTTCTCCTCATGGGCACAGCTCCATTGGGCTCTCTTCTGCAGCCACTTTAAACGGGGCTGTGTAAGACAGCCTGAAGCTGGGCTAGCTGGGAGACTACTCTCTGCAGGCTCAGCTCTGTTGGGCTCCCTTGTGCAGCCCCTTTAAACAGGGCTGTGCAAGAGAGCCCAAAGCCAGGCTGGCAGGGAGACTGCTCCCTGATGGCTCAGCTGTTTTTCAGGCTGTCTTCTGCCGTCCTTTTAAAGTTTAAAGAGACTGCACAAGACAACCCAAAACAGCTTAGCGGTGTAGGGAGCAAGCTGCTCCCTGATGCTCTGCTGTTTTTCAGGCTTTCTGCAAACCCTGTTGAAAGGTTCCTTTAGTTTGGCCACGAACCACATTTTCCCAGTTCGTGCGTATCCCTACTTACAACTTACCTTCCACCTGACACTTCTCCCCAAAGTTGCTTTTAATCCCACCAGTGATCCAGACCAATGCTCCCTCTAAGCTGTGGAGTCTTGTGAGCAAAAATTCTACTTTGTGAGCTCCTGACATTAAAGTTGTGAGCGAGTGATTTGGCTGCTGCATAAATGAGTTTGCCCTGGAACCATCCTTCCTGAGCTAAGACAAAAATGTGTGAGCCGGAGGCTGAGAAATTGTGAGCTAGTTCACACTGACTCAGCTTAGAGAGAACACTGATCCAGACCCCCCCTCATATACCCTTTAAACATTGTCTGAAACCCACCACAGGATGAAAGGCCAGAGCTTCAGGGCTAGCAGAAGGAAGGGGGAAGCTCCTTTATTCTTTGCCCCTGTTGCACTCCAAAGCACTCCCTCCCACATATGCTTCAGGAAGGATGAGGAACTGTAGAGGCTGCTTTACATTGTGGCTGTCGTGTAAGATATTGTTTACCCCACACATAGCATCTGAGAAATACTGATTTTGGGTATGGAGAGGCAGGACGGATAGGTAAGCAGAGTTCTTGTGGTGATCCTGTAGGCACTGGGATGAAGGCCCATCTGTTGAGTAATATTATAAGAGAAATCAAAGCATTACCCTGTGTTCAGAAATATGGGAATAATTAAGTGCCTCTTTGTGCTGATGCCAAGCGTTTTCTCTTGTCTTTAGCTGAGGACTGCCAGCTCCTTACCAGGATACCAAAGGTCAAGTGTCTGCGGAACAGTCGGCGAGAAGGTGAGCATGGCCCACTTTGTGGGAAGCATCTACTTGTACAGGGGCATAACAGCAGAGCAAGTGAAGATGTGAAATAAGGAGACATACAAACATCAGCCTCTGAGTGCATCACATCCTTTGCCTAGATTCAGTTTAGAAATTAGATGGCATCTCCTCTCCCCAGTTCAGCCTTGGCATACAAGCCATTGTTTATTTGAACAGCAAAGCTTTATCTAAGTCTGGGTGCCAGGTTTTCACAATAAATTTTAATGGATGGGATTGAACATAAAGAGTGGGGATGGGAGTGATCTGTGGTTTAATGCAGGGCAGGCGGTAACTAATTTATATAGGACAGTTCACAAGTCCCAGCATTTTATTACATTCCCACATTTTTAGCACCCTTGCCTATAATCATTGTCTATCATCCACCTTTAAAAAATTTGAAATCAAAAAGCAACAATGCATGAAATTAGTCATAAAATATGTTTTAAAAAATAAGACTATAGTAATTATACAATTATAATTATATCCAATATTGAAGTGAAGGGCTTGTGTTAACCGTGAAAGCAGCAAAGTGAAGCTAGGTCATCCATAGACAAAGTAAGCTTGTAGTAGGGGACATCCCACAAAAAAAATTAGATTAACCAAAAGAAGGGGGGGAACCCAACAGTATGATGATATGGGAGATGGTGCTCCATCAGATATCCCAGGTCATACAGAGTTTCTAAGGAAAGACTTGGAATTTGGCATCTTGAATTTGACCTCAAAGCAGATGGTAACCAGGGAACTACTGCAAAATTGGTCTAATATGCTTCCAGTGGATGACACCCTCTGGACCCAGCAAGAAGACTATCAACTTCTCAGCTTTTTAATAATAAGCACAATGGACCAGGGATCAAGCAGAAGAACTGAGATATGCACAGATTGAAGAATCCCATCCACATTCTCAGGTGTTGACTAGAACTCATGCGATATGAGTTGACCAGGAAAAGACCTAGATGATTCTGAGTTAATGGTAGAGTTAAGGTCAAAACAGATATAAGCTACTGTATTCACAAAGAATTCTGTAAAACTGTCACAGTGAGGCCCCAAATAATCTACTCCTTTCAGTAAAGAAGAGCCAGGGTATAAAAGTTCTTTTACCACTTGAAAAGGCACTGCTGGAAGAAACCACAGACACAGTTGGGGTTAGAGATGAACGTATTTTCCTTGCCATTGCTGCCAAGAAGTAGGCCTTCCAGTCGGTTCTAGGCCATGTTCAGTTGAATTTGGCATGAATCTCCCCTCTACCTGTGCTCAAGTCATCATCTTTTCTCCCTAACGCTCTCTCTTTAGCCACGGAGAGGGCTGTGCTCTGTCAGGTCTTCCCCTAAATAATTGTATCCTGTCCTTTTCCACTATCCTTTTGTAATGTATCACGACCCGACCATGTGGTCAGCTTGGGCACCACGCGGTCAAGAGCAAGCGTCGAGCTTAGCTCTGACAGACAAAGGACGATGCGGATTCTAGCCTGCACCAATCAGAGACTAGGCTCCGGGCCGAGAGCCTGTGGGACTCTCAGCCACTAGTTTGGACCTATTGGGAAGTGGGGGGGTGTTATGGGTGGTGGTTTCACGGGGGATTTAAGCCGGTCTGCGAGCTGGCTAAAGTTTTCTTGTTCTACACCAAATAAAGTACGCTAAGCTGAAATCTCTGTCTGCGTACTTTTCACCTTTTGTCTCTGTTTGTCTCCTCCCCCTTTCAGGGCTCATCCGCTCTCGAGTGCGAGGGGCCGATACAGCAACAGCTGAAATTCTGACCTTCTTGGACAGTCACTGTGAGGTGAACAGTGAATGGCTGCAGCCTATGCTTCAAAGGGTGAAAGAGGTGAGCAGGTGTCCTCTCCCTTCTTCCCCTGGCTGGCAAGCATTGCTTTGCACACTGTGCATAGCACCTCTGGTCATGTGAGATACACTACTGCAAGCAAAAACAAGGTTTTGTAATCCCCCCCTTTTTTTTGCTGAATTTCCTCTCACAACTGTTGATGTTACTCCCCTCATGTCCTCCAAAATATATCCCAAGAGGGGAATCTCTTGCTTGAATTCTGGAATCCTGCACTGTGTGGAGTGAGTTTGGAAAAGGACATGAGCCCTGGGGTGTAGAAAGGAAAACTGTACAGCTGAGTTAGCAGCACTCATCCTGCATGTGCCAAGAGGGTCAGAGAGGAGATGTGACGACACAGCTGAAAAATCTGCGATGACAGAGCTGAGTGGGGAGGGAGGTTTCCCCTGCAGTCTTCAAGGCCTGCTTTCTCCTTCTCAAAAGAAGTAGTTAACTGGGCCCTGGAGACAGGTAGAAAAACGCAAATTACATATATGTTCAGCTATGTGCCAAGAGGAAGAAGAAAGTGAAACCTTTGCACTGGAGACTTAAAAGCCTCTGCTCAATAAATCCTCCTTCTCAGTAGCCCATAAACCTTTCCTTTGTATTTGGTCATAAAATCTTGCTGCTGGCAGTAGCAACAATAGCAATGCCAGCCCTTGTGACTATTTGTTGTGTCAGAGATGTGCCTGAGCAGCTCAGCAGCAGAGGTGAAGCTCAGGCCTGCTGTTTGGAACTGGGTCCAACTTTTCCCAGGCATCTATTGTTAATAGAAGGTTGGGATGAGGCAGATCTCTTCACAAAGTACAAAGTATGTTGGTTGGGTCCCTGTGTCCTGTGTAGCAGTCATACATGACTCGCAACTTCCCCTAAATCCTTGTTCGTGCGGGGCCTGATTCAGATCAGTGTGGATGAAGAAGGGGTTTCTCTCTTCCTCTCCATTCCCTTTCCTGAAACAATCTTGAGTGGGAGGTACTATTTGGCCTGTTGGGGAAAGCCACAAGTGTACAATGCATCCCCAGGACTGTTGCAAATTGAGAAAACAGCATTTGGGGGGGGGAGGCTGAACCCCCTTCTCCAGGTGCACCACAGTTGTGATCTGAATTAGGCGCTAAGAACATGGGAATTGAGAGGACCCACCAGTCACACATAAAACACAGGATGGGAACCCTGGACTCAACCTGTTTACTTTGTAATGTTTGAAGAGACCTGAATAATGAATCTCCAGAATTCAAATAGCCCCCCATTTTCGTTCTCCAGTTCTACCTTTAGCTGTCTGGAGATAATTTGGTATTGGACAGATTTCCCAGGTGAGAAGGAGCAGAGATACTGGAGTAATTTTATGGAAGATACTATTCTCAAAATGTTTCCAAAGACCGTAATCCCAAGGATTCTTTGGAGAAAGCCATAATCGTTAAAGTGATGCAAGCCTGCAAGCTAGAGATAGCCTTAGAAAACTCTGATCATCTCTTCAGCCTTGTGCTAAGATCTCAACATTCAGGGTTAAGAAACAATCCCACTGCTAAGGAACTGTGGTGGGGAAGTATGACAGCATCCCTTGCTTGGAAAGCTCCTTCACACACAATTTTCAGGCCTGCAGTTTCTGAAGTTATTGTGTTTGGCATATCGTGCCAGTTGGCATTTAGATCTGGAGGTTGCCTGTGCCAGCTCTGACTGTTGCCTCCGGCCCATAGACATGCATTGTTTAAACATGAAAGATGACACATTTGTTGATATTACACTGATTTAGATGGAAACCAGTTTACAGCCCTTTTGCTCATCCTTTTGTCTTTTTTAAACCTACCAACATAGACAAGCCTCCAGACTGTGAATCGCTTCCTCAGTGGGTTGTGTCCAAATTAAACTTCCATGATTTTTTCTGGGACAAAAATTAGTCTCCTCCCCTCTCCTCCTCCTCCAAAATGTATGTGTTGCTTATTGCATTTTGAAATCTGAACATGCAAAGAGCAGCCCATGAATTCCTTGTAAGCCAGTTTCCAGCCAGCAAGGACAGGCAGTAATTTTAAATGATTACTTATGCTGCTAGAAGAAGACTACAACCTGTCCTGATGTGGTAGGCTGGAAGCTGCCCTCGCAAACAGCAGACTGGCTGTGATCTTAAACGTGGGTAATGGTTGCTTCCTCCCCACCTTACAAGTGAAACTGACTAGACTAGAAGTGGCTGTCACTTGAAGTGTCCTGCTGGGCTGCCTAGCTATGGATGGATCTACTTGTAAGTAAGCACCCTAGATGGCTGTTTTAAGTAGCAGCATTACCAGTGAAAACAATCTTCCTATTGGAATATCGGTTTTATTACCAGAACTAATTCCCAGGAAGTGAGTACTTATTTAATGGAGACTTTGCAGTGACAAAACTCAGAATTAAAGTTCTAATTAGAGAGCCCACATGGGATATGATGTAAACTTCACGAGCTGCTCCCAGGACATATCCCTGGGAAAACATCTGGTGTGGACACACCTTTTGAAGCAGTCAGCACAGTTGGAGAGAGAGATTTTCTTCGAATATGATTAACTGGAACAATTACTGCAGACTGCTTGAACAGGCAGATGTCACTGAACAGTGTGAGAAGTCAGGAAGCGATGCCAATGAAATGATTTTAAAACAGGCAAACCACTGAAGTACCGAAGTGGCAGGGTTTTTTTTAAGTTCTCCAGAGAAAAAGGAAAGGGAAATAGCTTTCCTCGGAAGAAACAATTTTTTGCCCACATTATTGTAGTCCACCAGTGGCTTTCTTAGGATGACCAAAGGAAATTCAGAGCATAACAGCACCATCTGATAGTCACTCCTTGAAATTCTGTCCTGTGTATGTGACTAGAAAACAGAGAGCAGGCATGTTGCAATAGCCTGTGTTATGAATCTCCCTCGTCTTCTAAAAACTGAGGCCGATTTCCCACAAGCGCTGCTCCGCACTCGGTCTTCCCTTTTGCCCCGATGGTACATGTCAATTTTACACAAGCTGCTGCACAGCCACATTTTGCCCCACAGCTTTGCGCGATTTCCCCCGCATGTACTCAATCCTCAAAAAACAGGATTGAGTAGATGCGGGGGAAATCATGCGAAGCTGCGGGGCAAAATGCAGCCACAGCAGCTTGTGTGAAATTGACACGTACCATCGGGGCAAAAGGGAAGAGCGAGCGTGGAGCAGCGCTTGTGGGAAATCGGTCTGAATGAGTCTCATTCTTCAGATCACTCCTGCAAAACAACAACTGGTTCCAATCTTATATGCAAAAGCCACAGATTATTTCTTAGCAGAAAGAAACCTGGAGTTAACAAAGGGATGCAATGCGGTATGCAAATATTTTTGTCATTCTGCCATATGCATAAATCTCATGGTTTCTGAGTTCCTGAAGCTTAATCTCTACACCTTCTTTCTGAATTCTAATTTTTTCTCTTTTTCATTCTTTCAGGATTATACACGGGTGGTGAGTCCTATCATTGATGTGATAAGCTTGGACAATTTTGCCTACTTAGCGGCATCAGCAGATTTAAGGGGAGGTATGTACAGCCAATAGATAAATTCTGAAGAAGGGCTGTTTCTTTCTCTTAGGATAACTGCAACGTAACTGGTTCCTTTTGATCCTTGTTGTAAGACATGCCTGAAAACCTATGATTTTACCTATACTCAGACCGATTTCACGCAAGAGCTGCGCCGCAGGCGCACGTCCCTTTGCCCCGCTTCTATTGGTCAATTTCCTACTCGAAGCCGCGCGGCCACATTTTAACCCGCGGCTTTGCCCAATTTTCCCCACGGTTTCATGATTCTCAAAAATCGGGTGAAGCCGCGGGTCAAAATGCGGCCACGCCGCTTCGAGTGGGAAATTGACCAATAGAAGTGGGGCAAAGGGAGGTGTAACCGTGGCACAACTCTTGTGTGAAATCGGTCTCAGTGTATGTGTGTTCATCTTTTTGGAGGAAATGTAGAAATACATTGGCAGGAGCTGGGAAACCTTCACTTACCAGTTCCCCTCCTGGAGATTCTTGCCTTACAAATCAACACCTCTAATTTTCTATAATTTTATGTACATTTACCTCCTAGTTCTTGCTAAATTACATAAAGATCCAAATTCTGCAAAAGAACCTCAAAACATTAAAAACAACTTGTGAATTATGTAAAACAAATGAAGCTGATACAGTTTTACTAAATTTACAGTATTTATTCCAGTCAAAAAATGTGGATTTGTAGACTTCCTACTTAGTGGCATTCAATAGGTTTTTGCTTTCCAGATGAGTTGGATTATAAATTGCATCTTTGCTGTCAGGATATGTCCTTTTGTTTTACCTTGTTCAGCTAACTTCCTCTCCTTTTTCTGTGCTTATGAATGTATGCTTGTCATCTTTGCTGTCTACTGCATGCATTAGGCTTTTGCCGAAGGTTGGTAGGGCCAGGTCACATGAACATATGAAGATGCCTTGTACTGAAGTGGTCCCTTGGTCTATTAAGGTCAATATTGTCTACTTTGACTGGTAGTGGCTCTCCAGGGTATCAACTATCAACTAGAGATGCCAGGGATTAAACTTGGGACCTTCTGCATGCAAAGCAGAAGCTCTACCACTGAGCCATGGCCCCATGGTCATATGTTACCTAACTGATGTGAATTCCAATTTAGTATAACTGTACTCAATGAGCTCCTTTAATGTTAAAAATGTTGAGACCACATGAGAGAGCCTTATGATGTGGTCAGTGTTCATGCCAGAATCATTGGCTTCTTGTGAAAGGTCATTACCAGATTGCTGTGCAACATTATAACAATCTGTGTATCAGGTTCTCTGAATTCTCATCTTTAATTTTTAAAGAAGTACGTCTCTAGACTCTTCGACTGCAGAGATATGCCTTTCCCCTCATACCTCCACAATGAAAGTGGCTAAAGACTTGCTTACTAAAAATGAGAACTGGGAATTGAGAGGACCCAGTACACAGATTTTGTAATATTGTTATAATATAACATCGCTGATTTTTTTTAAACAGCAGAAAAGCCCCGAATGGCAAGGGGAGCAAATGGAGGTAGCAGCAGGAGATAGGAAAGTTCTATTCATTTAGTAGAGCTCTAGAGACGTACTTCTTTAAAAATGAAAGATGAGAATTCAGAGAACCTGATACACAGATTGTTATAATGTTGCTACATCAATATTTAGTTGCCAACTCAAAATGACTGTAAAAACCCCAACTGCCCACATAAAAAGGGGCCACTGCTGGGGAATGGAGCAAGGAAACCTGCCATGTGAAAGCCCCATGGCTGATGTGTTATATTGGCAACTGCACTGGCAATGGGGAAACCATACAAGCCTGTCCCCATTTGAAACCACCCTTTTCTCATCTTTGGAGCCCTGTGATATATATTAATCTCTCTTCCACTGTGCAAGTACAAGTCTTAATGTTCCCCTCTTTCAGTCCTGTAGATTCCTCTTGCATCCACCTTCCATTCCACAGGATCTACCCAATTTGCAAATGTTATAAATCAGGCAGCATTTTATGTGGTACGCATGGGGAAAAGGCAATTACAGCAAACAGAGAGGCTTTGTTCCCGGAAGTATATGTCATCCCACTGAGAGTACTGATGAATGTCTCATAACTTTGGCAGCCAATGAGGCATAGGACAGGCAGAGTGGAGGGCTGAAACACTAATTATTGCATTTCACTCTGGGAACACACATTGGAAGATCTGGAATCTAATTGAGCACAGACAAATATTACTAAGGAACAGAGAGTGCATCTATAGGGATACCTTGAGGCCAAGCTGCATGTTGCTGTTATATAGAAAGCTTTTTCTGCTCTCAAATCATATGTGCGAAAGCAGAATCGCCACCATGTAATGGTCAGCTGTGCATGGTAATGCTATTCATATCTGTGTAACTTGAGGGGTGTTCCTGACATACCTCAGCTGGAGAGGGGGGCACATGTGTTGCTGAGTTTTAAATCACAGAGATTCTCCTGTTGCTGGTTTTCCTGAGCATATGAGAATCTGCAAACATACTTCCTTCTTCTGCCCTGTTCTGTATTTTAGGGTTTGACTGGAGCCTTCACTTTAAGTGGGAGCAGATCCCTATTGAGCAAAAGTTGTCTAGAACAGACCCTACCCAGTCCATAAGGTAAACTCAAGTGTGCAGTATTCCTCTTTGCACAGAAGAACTTGTCTGGTGAAGGAGCTGCTCCATTCATTGATGTTTCCATGGGAAGTGTTCAGAGGTCATGTGTGGTTCATTTAAGAGCTGCAGTTAATCAATATCTATTGTTCCCTGAAGGGTTTTAATATTCTTGACAAATACTTGCAACTCAATTTGTTAGCTTGAGTGGCCCGCACTGCTATAATATGCACTGCATAGTATATTGGTTTTTCAGACAGTAATGGATGCAAGCCGCCATCCCCTGTTGTGAGGTAGGGGAAGTGTCACTGTCCTCCTTTTAGGAATGGTTTGCCATTGTGTTATGATACTAATTGCCCATTTCAAGATGATGAGTGCACAAAAATTATGTATGCATCAAGATGATGTATTGCAGATGAAGGTCCCATATCTAGCCAAATTATGAGGTGTGTGTAGTTAACAATACTTTATTCAGGGCTTGTCTAGACTGCCTGGATTTTTCAGATGTTCATTTTTATCTTATCCTTCTTTTAAGGAGTTCAGAATGGCATATTAGCCTTCTCTCCTCCTCCATTTTAAATTCACAACAACCCTGTGAAGTAGGTTAAGCTGAGAGAGAATGACCAGGCCAAAGTCACCCCATTGAGTATCATGGCTAGTGGGGACTTGAGGCCGGGTCCCCCTGTGCTGAGGCCAGCATTCTACCCATGGCACCACACTGCATAGTGCTCTGGTGTAACCTCTTCAATCCAAACATGAAGGAGTGTTAGCTTGTTACAGGCCCTGCTGTTACTCATGGATGGCTAGAATCAACAGAGTTTGGTGTCCTCGGGAAAATTGTTACCAGCCCACTTCCCTGAGACACTTTGCCAGCTTCTCAGCTAGGAACTAGAGGGTAAAGCTGGAGGCAAAAGAAGCACTGAAAAATCAGACAATGTGGCCTAAGGGTAATGCATACGTAACTGGTTACCCTGGTTAAGGGATCGAGGCTGTGCTCCCTCCCCTTCTCTCCCCCATCTCTGGTATGAATTCCCCCACTTTTCCTAACCAGAATTAAGTGGTCCATTGGCACAGACATTAATGGCATTTGAGGCTAAACAGGCTCCTTTTTTGGGTATTTTTCATATGTGCATGTGTGTGTGCGCGCGCACCTGAGAGTCATGGCGATCTCTGGTGACTGACCCCTACTGGGGGTCTGGGGGATATTCAGAAAGGTGGCTGAATAAGGCCTGCCCTCACCTCCCGCCTCTGGTATGTCAAGGAGGTCTCCCATCTAAGTACTTGCCAGAGTCGACCCTGCAACCCTGCTTAGCTTCTGAGATCTGACGAGATCGGGCTGGCCTGGGCTATCCAGGTCAGGGCGAGGCTAAACAGGCTTCTTGATTAACTAGGATTCTAAAACAGTTTTAGAAGCTTGTTTAACAAACACTGTTTGAATATAAGCCTGGCTTATTTTAATCATTTGGTGCCAACGTAACACTTAACTGCAGCCAAGGCTGGTAAGAGAAGAGGAAATTCACACCAAGGAGAGGAGCTGGATGGAGCTGTGAGATCCCAGTGTCATATATGTATGGCGCTCTTAAGCTTGGTTAAGAAATCACTCCTGTTATATGTGCACCAACCCTTGTAAGAATTTCTGAGGTCTAATGGTTATTCTTTCTAAATCACTGAAGAGATATTAGAATATTATTTTGTCTTATTGCACAACTTTCTTTTGAGTATAAGGTTATTTTATTAATATTAGATGTGCACTCACTGTTTCCCTCAGAACACCTGTCATAGCAGGAGGCATCTTTGTAATCAACAAGTCTTGGTTTAACCATCTGGGAAAATATGACACTCAGATGGACATCTGGGGAGGAGAGAACTTTGGTGAGTTGCTGCCTCGACTTCTTCTATTCCCTGTTCCTCTCACTGGTCTTTCACAAATCACTTTTGCAACTCCTGGTCAGACAAGAACATACATTTTCTCCTGATTGCAGATTGGGGCACTGGCTGTCATTCAAGAGCTACTTTCAGATTGATAAAATCCATTTTCTGCCACCCCTGTGCATATGTCAATATTATTGTACAAACTGCTGGATAAATCCTTGGCAAGATCTATATTATTATTGGCTTGTATGCATGTGTGTACATGGATACTCTTTGGGGACATACTTGTCTGGATAGGGATCCAGATCTGGGAAGTGTCTTGGAAACTGTAGGTTACGTTAAACAGACTAAGGATTTCACAATGTTTACATTAATTGTAGATGCATCTACTGAAAGCACAGCCATTTTTGTGAGGGTGCAGGGGCTGGGTGAAGAGAATGTGTCAGGAGGACTGGAAAATTAAAAGGACCTAGGGAGCCTTTAAGGGGACTAGCATGCTGATATGGGAGGAATGCATTTAAGGTTAAGGGTGGTGGTCTGTTTTACTTCTTCTGTCCTGGTATCCAGCACCAAGAGGTAAACCTTGGCAAGGTCAACTTTCTTCAGTGATCCAAATGAGCTTTTGAACATCAAAGGTTCAATGATTATCTCATCCATTAAACAACAACAACAGAAAGTGGATTTCCCCTTCAAGGCAGCAAAATGTCTGGAAGATCTGTGTGTGCGTGTGTGTGTTTAAATAAATATGGGTGAAACATTGCCTTTAGAAAATGCTTCCTAAATAAATAGTGCCATTTGGGGTTCTAAAGTGAGAATGTTAAAGCATACAGTTCCAGGGTTTGATCTATTGAAAACCACAGGCGTCACACATTTTAAAAACAACTAAAACTCTGAAATTCCAAGACCTGTTCCATGAATAATGTGGGTGGCACAAGCACTGTTGGTATATAATGACTTTTTAGAAACCTGAAAATTGACCTGTGCAGACATCCTCTTAAACAATGTTAATATGAATTACATGCTTTTTCAGAATTCACTTAATATTTTGACAGCTCTTTGATATCAGTGATGAGTGTGGCTGAAATGTTTGTTTTGGAGCCTCATGATATTTTCCATACTGAATCATTTTTCACCCATGCCCTTAAGATCTCCACCTTCATATTTCCCATTATACTCTTTCACACAGATTCACTCCTTGAAATTGAGTCCTTTGATTTTATTTCAGAAATCTTCTCTAATGTTTTCAGTTTCCACTTTAGACTTTCTGCCCATCCCAAGTCTTTTAAGAGTCTACTGTTTACACCAGAATAATTTTATTCCGTTGGTAGGTTTTGTAGACCTATTGTGAGAAGATAATGTCTTATTTATTTATTTATCAAATTTATACCCCGCCCTCCCTGCAAAGCAGGCTCAGGGCGGCTTTGGCAACTTTCAGTAAAGGCCAAACTACACTTATAACACAGAGGATCTCTGGTTGTACCTGTGCTGAACCTGTCTCCTCTCCCCCCCCCCCCCCTCTATGGAAGGTGGTGATTTTTATCAGAGGAAGTGGTGTGGGTGGAAGGGGTTTCCACCCCTCCTCAGAACTACAACCACAATTCAGTGTACCCTTCTTCCCCCAGCACTGCACTTTAGTCATAAAGAAAACATCTGGTGATACAGGTATAGCTCTCTCCCATAACATGCAGTTTGTCTCTAAGATTCGTTTAAAAAGACAAGATTATAATCTGATCAGCGGGACCAGGGAGGGGGAACCAGTTGGTGGAAGGGCAGGAGTTTTTCATCTCAGAAAGTCATCAACAGAATGCAACCAAGTTCACCTGTTCTTGCTTTTGTCCATGTTGTTTGGCTGTTTCATGTTGTAACACTGTGGATCTTTTCCAGAGCTTTCCTTCAGAGTTTGGATGTGTGGAGGCAGCTTGGAGATCGTTCCCTGCAGTCGTGTGGGCCACGTTTTCAGGAAACGCCACCCCTATGACTTCCCTGAGGGCAACGCACTAACTTATATCAAGTAGGGATGGGTTATTCCTTGACCCCAGTTCAGAAAATAAGAGGGTGCTATGCAGAAGCAGTTAGATGTGGCTGCAGTATGGAATCTTCCCTAGGGAAAGAAATGGTATGGAGGACAAGTCCTTGAGACATTTTGCCAGGTCTTTTTTCATACAGGAGCTTCACTGTGATGAATCTAGGATTTTATTAATTCTTTCTGGATATGCCTGACCAAATCGATTGCATTCTTTCTTGTGTTTATATATTCTGACTTCGTGTCAATGTTTCCCTGATGGTCAGGAAACAATAAGTACAGTCATTTCAGTAGGAACTGTACTTTGAGACTTGAGGGTGCTGCTAATTTAACCCTTCTACTCTTGGGGAAAGCATTTACTATTGCAGTACAGTGGGTCAGATATTCCTCAGGCAAATAGGAGTATATTGAAAAATAATGTCATGGATCTCATCTAAAAATTCCATGTATGGAAGGGGGTGATTTTCACCAATTTCCCCGGCCCACAGCAGACCACCAACTCCTCCCAAGCTGTTCTTGGAGGTCCCCTGTCCCCCTAGGAGCAGCATTTGGGGGTGCATTTCAGGTTGCAGTGAAGGCAGTGGGAAGCATACAGAAATACTTTCTCCAGGAAATTTTTAGAGCCAATGAAGTATATTGACAGTGGGTTCCAATGTAATATAAAATGTAATGTACTGGAAAACTTAATTTTTGTATCTGAAGTATGACTGTGACTAAAGTTCCATCAAATCACAATTGTCTTATGGCGACCGCAGCAAGTGTCTTCCAAGGTGACTAAGAAGCAGAGGTGGTTTGCCGTTGCCTGCTGCTGGGGAAGGGCGCAGGTGGGAAATATCCACCATCTGCTCATCTTCTGTTCAGCGTGAAGGTTCACCATAGTTAAGGTTATTTAAACCCCCAACAGGGTTTCATTTTTCGCCTTTCACTTTACTAGGTGTCTGACTGACTGCAGTATCTTTGTACGTAATACTTCCAAATTAAGAATACATCCACAACAGGGGTGGGCTAGAAGAACACAGAACAAATTATTCTATTGCTGTAGAAGAATACATGGAGTAAGGATGATTACCAAACCTTATTAGACCAGATTTTGTGATTGAATCAGACTGAATCCTTAGCCATGGGACCATCAATGAGCAGTTCAATTTGCATTCTTCTGCAGGAGAAAAGCTAAATTAATGCTACAAAGCCCTTCAGAATTAATTCTTGATATGCTGTAAAACATAATACTTAGTTATTTTGTATTTCAGCGCACAAAGACTAATTTTGAAGTGGTTTCTGATTTTTTTGTTTCTGTGCGGCTGAAAAGCACAATTGTGTTCCTCTATAACAGGGGTGGCCAAACTGTGGCTCGGGAGCCGCATGCAGCTCTTTCACAGATATTGTGTGGCTCCCGGCAGGGTGGCTGGGGAAGCTAAATATCATTAGCAAACAAATTATCATTGGACAAATAAATATCATTATCTTCTTTCTTTTTTTTTTTGGATCCCCCTAAGGGGAATTTTTTAATTGATTTTTTACAAACTACAAACTACAACTGAAAATATGGGAAGGGGAACTACATCTAAGGAGAAAGAAAAAAGACCCA